TTCTTCATGGGAGGACTCGAACCGACCAGCGACTGGCCCGAAAAACTGATGATTAAATTCCGCAAGGATTCGGCGAAAGCCTTTAGCGATAAGAAGTCATTCGCTTTTGGCCGGTGTCGGGGATTCCGGCGAAAAGTTTATAAACGAAAACGGAAGGGAAACGTTCCCTTCCGTTTTCGTTTTTGATTGTAGTTGAGTTTTATCCAGGTGAGTTTGTGCCAGATTCCTCGAAAGATTTGTTTGCTTTAAAGATTCTGTGCATTCAGCGCTTTGTGCTCCAAGTTTAGAACGTTTCCTATTCGAGGAACGACGCGCCTTTGGCGGCCCCGAAACTTCCGCCGATCACGACGATCATATCCTCCTTACAAAGCCATTTCCGGTCTTCCAGTAGTACAGCACGCCGAGTAGGAAACTTTCGTGGTTGATGGTCGGTTCGCGGTACATGGCGTGGATGCCGTAGGAGATTCCGAGCTGCCGCATCACGCTCTGCGGTAGCAGACGGCGTACACCGGTTTCTCGCCGCGGAAGGCGGCCAGGTAACGTCCCGTGCGTCCCGAAAGCGTGTCGATGATGATGGCCCGGATCGGTAAGTTGATGCAGGCGCGCACGGCCGAACGCGAAAGCTGCGCGGTGATTTCGTTGTTGATGCGCCACCAGGTTCATGTCGTAGTTCGGACTGTTCTGCGCCGTATCCTTTTCGATCTCGCGGGCCACGCGGGCCATCGTCTTCACGCTTCGACCGGGTACTGACCGTTGGCTGTTTCACCGCTCAGCATCACGGCGTCCACGCGCTGGTAAATGGCATTGGCCACGTCGCTGATCTCGGCGCGCGTTGGACGCGGGTGTGTGATCATCGTATGCAGCATCTGGGTCGCAATGATGACCGGTTTTTTACTTTCGATGCACTTGCTGACCAGCAGGCGTTGGGCGACGGGAATCTGTTCGGCCGGAATTTCGACGCCCAGGTCGCCGCGGGCGACCATGATTCCGTAGGTCTCGTCCAGGATTTCGTCGATGTTGTCGACCCCTTCTTTGTTTTCGATTTTGGAGATGATCTGATCGAACTGTTGCGTCTTTTGATCAACTCCTTGACGGCCAGCACGTCCTCTTTTTTGCGGACGAACGAGTGGGCGATGAAATCTACGTCCATGTCGATGGCCCAGTTGATGAACCGCGCGTCGCGTTCGGTGACCGATGGCAAGTCGATGGCCACGCCGGGGATGTTACGCTTTTACGACCGTAGATGACTCCCCCGTTGCGCACTTCGCAGGACCAGTTCGTCGCCGCGCTTTTCTCGGACGTACAGTTCCAGTTCCCCGTCGTCGACCAGGATTACCGAGCCGGCCGGCACGTCCCGGGAGATGTGCCGTCGTTCAGATAGATCAGTTCGTTGTTCGACGGCAGGTCTTCCGACGTGCCCCTGAGCCGGACGATGTCGCCGTCGAAACGGGAATACCCGCTTCGAATCCCGGAGCCATGCCCGTGATCGGATCTCGGGCCCTTTCGTATCGATGATGATAGCGATCTGTTCCGACACTTTCCGCACGTTCTCGACAATCGTCGTGGCCCCTTCGGGCGTCAGGTGGGCCGAGTTGATCCGCGCGGCGTTCATGCCGGCTTCGTACAGGGCTCTGATAAATTCCGGTTCGCAATGTTTGTCCGAGATGGTGGCTATGATCTTTGTCTTTTTGTCCATGAGTAGGTGTCTTAAATAATCTGGTTTATATTGAAAACGAATCGTCGGGGACCGTTAATTCAGGAAGCCGAGTATCCCCAGCCGGTAAGAGTCGAGTCCGAAACCCATCACGATCCTTTGCATTTGGGGGCGATCAGCGAAACGTGGCGGAACTCTTCGCGGGCGAGGATGCAGGAAATGTGCACCTCGACGACCGGGATGCGGATTCCTCCGATGGCGTCGGCGATGGCGATCGACGTGTGGGTGTAGGCTCCGCGTTCATTACGACCCCGTCGTAGGCCTCCGCGCCGCGTGCAGCTTGTCGACCAACTCTCCTTCGATATTGGATGGTAATAGTCGAGCGTGACGTCCGGAAACCGTGTTTTCAATTCGTCTAGGTAAGATTCGAAGGTTTGTTCTCCGTAGATGCCCTTCGCGTTGTCCCAGCAGGTTCAGGTTCGGGCCGTTAATAATCAGTAACTTCATCGGGATAAAAATTTTACGGATAGGATCAAAAACATTTTCTCAAATTCGTACAAAAATACAACGGTAATTTGAATATTTAGCATATTTTTGTAATAATTTAACGAATTGATAACAAGCGCAGACGGATGGAATTGCGAGAATTGGGCGAGTTCGGTTGGATTGCGGGTATCCGCGAAAAGTTTCGGGGCGTCCCTTCCGGGGAAAGTCTCGGATCGGGGACGACTGCGCCGTAATCCCGTGCGGAGACGGAGAAGCGTTGGTCGTTACGACCGATATGTTGATCGAGACGTTCATTTTTGCGTGCGGTGATTCCTCCTTACCTGCTGGACGCAAATCGCTTGCCGTAAATCTCAGCGACGTCGCTTCGATGGGCGCCGTTCCGATCGCATCGTTTTTATCGATCGCTCTTCCGGGGATGTCTCCGCCGGTTGGGCCGACCGTTTTACCGACGGTTACCGTAGCCTGTCGGAAGAGTTCGGGGTTCCGCTGTTGGGCGGGGATACCACCTCTTCGCAGGATCGAATTGCGATCAACGTGACGGCCATCGGGCGTATCGCCCGTGCGAAAGTCAAATATCGGAGCGGAGCCAGAGAAAACGATATAGTCTATGTGACAGGGTATTTAGGAGATTCGGCTCAAGGATTGCTCGATATTCGGTCGGGCGTATACGACTCGCCGTTCGTCGCCGTGCACCACGATCCGCATCCGTGCGTCACGAAGGGATCTGGCTGGGGAACCAACCGGAAGTGCATGCGATGATGGATATTCGGACGGACTCGCTTCCGACCTGCCTCATATTCTGGAAGAGTCGGAGACCGGCGCCGAGATTTCCATCGAGCGGATACCGACCCGTACGACCGTCGAGCTGGCCGTTACGGGCGGCGAAGATTACCAGTTGCTGCTGACCGTCGGAGCCGAAGCCGCCGACCGGATTGCGGCGGAGTACGTCCGGCATTTCGGGAAGCCGTTGTACGGGATCGGTCGGATACGATCCGGAGCGCCGGATATAATCTGGTCGGACAACGGGGAGGTCGTCCGACCGCAGTGGAAGGGATTTCGTCATTTTTGACCGATCGCCGGTACCGCGCGACGTCCTGTGTGTCGGCGGTCGGTTGTATCTGATCCGCGACGGACGGACTTCCGGGTGCGGGAATGGGAAGACCTTGAGAAATTCGGTTACATTTCGGGACGGTGACGGAGGCGAATCCGCGGGGTTTTTCATAAATTTGCAGAATGAAAAAAACAATACAAAAAGTACTTTCGATAGCCGGCTCCGACAGCGGAGGGGGGGCCGGTATTCAGGCCGATATCAAGGCCATATCGGCCTGCGGCTGCTATGCGATGACGGCGATCACGGCCGTAACCGTTCAGAATACCGTAGGCGTACGGGGTTTTCATGTCGTTCCGGCGGAAGTGGTCGCCGGACAGATCGCGGCGGTGTTGGAGGATATCGGCGCCGACGCCGTAAAACTCGGCATGTTGCCGACTGACGAAATGATCGTTCCGATCGCGGAATCGCTGAAAAAATACCGGGTGCGCAGCGTGGTGATGGACCCGGTGATGGTGGCTACCTCGGGCGACCGTCTGATCAGCGAAGCCGCTGCGCAGGCGATCCGTCGGCATATTTTTCCGTTGGCGACGCTGGTGACGCCGAATGTTCCGGAAGCCGAATACATTACGGGGATGCCGATCCGTTCCGAGGCCGATTTTCCCGCCGCCGCCGCCGCGCTTCGCGATATGGGAGCCGGGGCCGTGCTGCTGAAAGCCGGGCATCTGGATGGAACGGAACTGACCGAATACCTTTTCGACGGCAACGGTTGCCATACCTTCCGTTACCCGCGAACCGACACGCCGAATACGCACGGCACCGGATGCACGCTGTCGTCGGCCGTCGCCGCTTTCCTGGCGCAGGACTATCCGCTCGAAGAGGCGGTGCTGTGGGCGGAAAACTATGTCCACGAGGCGATTGTCCGCGGCCGGGAGTATCGGCTCGGAAACGGACACGGGCCCGTACACCATTTTATCGTTTTTGGGAGTAGATTCCGGAGGAATAACTATTTTTACAAAAAATTGCGCGCGTGGAATTTGTCGGTAAATTTTTAAAGACAGGCGTCTGTGGCTGATCAGCATCGTGGTGTTCGGCCTGCTGATCGTCGTGTTCGACAAAACAACCTGATCGAAGCGTGGCGGCTGAAACAGAAAATCAATGCGCTGGAGGTGCAGGAAACCTATTACGGCAGAAGATTGCCGAGGACAGTACGGTGCTCGAGAACCTGAAAAACGACCGTTACCTGGAGCAGTACGCCCGCGAGCATTATCTGATGAAACGTAAAGAGGAGACGATCTATCTGGTACGGTGATTCTTAGGTTCCTGTCGCATGGGTCTAAAACAATATGCCGACAAGGGGGCTGCGAGATCCGAATTTTGCAGCCCCTTTGCTGTTTTTCCATCCGGAGTCGGGTCAGGGTATCCGCATGTATTTGTGGGTCTGCACGGAGATGTTCCAGCGCGGATGCGCTTTGGCGTATTCGACGATCTCGGCGATCATCCGGTCGTAACGGCTCCATTCGGGTTGCAGGTAGAGCATACACTCCGGCGTTACTTTCGCGGCGTTCTGTTCGGCCCACCGGAAATCGTCGGGCGTTTCGATGATGATTTTCAGTTCGCTGGCGCAGGCGAATACGCTGTCGACGGAGGTTGCTGTTTCTTGGGCGACAGGCAGATCCAGTCGAACCGGCCGCTCAGCGGATGCGCTCCGGAGGTTTCGAGAAATATTTTGAGTCCGCGGGCCGCGAGTTGTTCGGTCAAGTAATCCAGCGGATACAGCGACGGTTCGCCGCCGGTAATGACGATCGCCTGCGCCGGGAAAGAGCAGGCGCGTTCGACGATCGAATCGACTTCCACGGGCGGGAAAAGCCGGGGATTCCACGTCATTTTCGCGTCGCACCACCGGCATCCGACGTCGCATCCGCCCAGTCGGATAAATAGGCCGGTTTTCCGGTATGGAAACCTTCTCCCTGAACGGTGTAAAAATCTTCGACGAGCGGCAGTTTTCGTCCGCCGCAGAACAGGTCGTCGTGGTTATTCATGGTCGTCGGCGATTTCATAAATGTCTTTGTAGTTGCGTCCCAGTTGGTCGTAGTCGAGCCCGAAACCAACGATGAACTTGTCCGGAATAGACAGCGCGTAGTACTTCGGCGGCGTTTGTTTCCGGTAGCATTCCGGTTTGAAAAGCAGCGTCGCGACGGCGATGTCGGCCGCTCCCTGCTTTTTCAGCACGCCGGTCATGTATTCGATGCTGGCTCCGGTGTCGACGATGTCTTCGACGAGGATGACGTGCCTGCCCCGAATATCCTGCGAGAGGCCGATGAGCTCCCTGACGCGGCCGGTGGTTGCGGTTCCGCTGTAAGAAGCTATTTTGACGAACGAGACTTCGCAGTCGAACGAGATGTGACGCAGCAGTTCGCCCATGAACATGAACGATCCGTTGAGCACGCCGACGAACAGCGGCGTTCGTTTTTCCCGGTAGTCGCTGTTGATGCGTGCGGCCACCTCCGCGATGGCCTTTTGCAGTTGTTCGCAGGAGATCGAACGCCGGAATGTCTTGTCGTGAAGCCGTATCGTGTCCATCTGTTTCGTTTTGATCGGTAACGGAAAAAATAACGTCCGGTTGCTGTGATCCGGAGGTTTGTTGTTTATCTTTGCAAAGATAATGAAGCGAATCAAAAATAATTTAAAAAGCGTGATAAAATGACACCGAAAGTCAGCATCATCATGGGCAGCACGTCGGATCTGAAGATCATGGAGGCCGCTGCCGAGTTTCTCGACCAGATGGAAGTTCCTTATGAAATCAATGCGCTGTCGGCCCACCGCGTTCCCGAAATGGTGGCCGAATTTGCGAAGAACGCCCATACCCGCGGCGTGAAAGTAATTATCGCCGGCGCCGGCGGAGCGGCCCATCTTCCGGGCGTGATCGCCGCCACTACCCCGCTGCCGGTGATCGGGATTCCGATCAAGTCGTCCAATTCGATCGACGGCTGGGACAGCATCCTTTCCATTTTGCAGATGCCTGCCGGGATACCGGTCGCTACGATGGCGCTGGACGGGGCCCGCAACGGCGCGATCCTGGCCGTTCAGATCCTGGCTGCGGGCGACGAGGAGCTGATGCGGAAATTCGTCGCTTTCAAAAGCGAGTTGGCCCAGAAGATCGGCAAGGCGAACCGGGAGCTCGCTCAGATCAAACGTCCGTTCAAGACGAATTAGGAGTCGCCGCCGGAAGGCGTTTGTTTCGTTCAAAATACGTTACCGGGCGAAAGTCCGGTAACGTATTTTTATCGGGATGCCTGCCGTCTTTTTCGCGTACCGGTCGTCCGGATTAATCCCAGCCGTACCAGGTATTGTCCTCGTAATCGGTGACGGTCGCTTTTTGCGGCCGGTACCGGATCGGTTGCCGCTTGTCCTCGGTATTGATATGGAAGTAATTGGCGTTCAGCAGGCCGGTTCGTCCTACGGCGAAACCGAGCCGGATGTTGATCGTTCGGAAAATCAGGTGTTCGTTTTTGATGCGTACGCCGATGCCGATGGTCGAGTAGAATCCGTTTTTAAACAGATTGCCGTTGTAGCCGAGAATGCCGAGGTCGGCGAATCCGTACAACGCGAAACGAAACTGGTACAGGTGCCATGGGGTAAATACGACGGTTTCGGAATTGACCACGAGCCGGTTGTTGCCGTAAATTTCCTCTCCGAGTCCGCGCAGTTCGGCATTGTCTTCGAATCCGAACGATTCGCGGTATCCGTCCATTCGGTTCCATCCGCGGGTCAGGTTCACGTCGATGAACTGGCGGACGCGGTATCTTCCTTTGCCCATCAGGTTCGAAAACCAGTTCAGATTCGATACCAGGGCGGTGCGGTAAAACCGCCCGTCGCGGTTGTTCAGGTAGCTGCCGAGGGCGAAACTCCACCGCAGGTAGCCGAACGACGTGAAGTTACCGGCGCTGAACTTGCCGCCCAGGTACCACCGGTTGCCGAACTCGCCCCACGAAGGGCCACCCGTCAGCGAGAACTGGTAGCCGTAAGGGATATCCTCGTTGACTCCGTACCCGTAGATCAGGCTGGAGGTACGGAACTGCTCTTTGTAGAAACCGGTGTTGAACAGCACGAGGTTCTCGTTGTGGAAATAGGGATTCAGCGACTGCGATACTTCCGGCCGTTCCCGATGAAGCACCGTATTGTAATGCGCCGTGATAAAGAAACTGCTTTTCAGGTTTTTTATGTAAAAGGATTTACCGCCCCATACGCCCCATTTGGCCAGGGAGGTGTTGATCGTCGAATCCAACGGGTCGATGTCGATCGGTTCCCGGCGGTAGTAGCCGTATCCTCCGAGCGTGTAGTCCGACGGTCGGATGAACTCTTTTTTGAATTCGGCTCCGTAGTCGGAGTAGTTGAATCCTTTGCCGGCGATGATGCGCCCTTCGACGAAGCTGCCCAGGATATTCGGGTTCTCGTATTCGAACAGGTTGCCGCCGTAGCTCCAGTTTTCCAATTGAAATAGGTCTTGACGCTCAGCTTGTTCCCCCACCCCAGAATGTTGTCGTCGTAGAGTTCGAAATAGGTGTTCCCGTCGCTTTGCGAATTCAGGTCGATGCCGATCGTCCAGCGATCGCGGGTCGTGACGATCAGGTCTACGACCGACGAGTCCGGCGTCGCGGGGATTACGCGGATGTTTGCGTCGGCGATGTAGCTGCGAGAGCGGATCAGTTGGCGGTTGTTGGTGACCAGTAGCGGATCGAAGCGGTCGCCCGGTTTGATAAACAGGTCGCGGCGAATCTTGCTCTCCTGCGTGATCCGGTGCATGGCGTTCGTCTTGCGTTCGCCCCATACTTTCGAATGGGGATTGAAGACGTTCTCGCGGACGATCCGGATATCGCCGATCTTCTTCCCGGCGAATTGTTCGAAATATTCCTGATCGGCTTTGGCGGCGCGCATTTCGGCTTCCTTGTCGCGCGGGGTTACGGAGATCGTCTGGTAAAGCAGGCGGGAGAAACGTCCTGTTTTTTTCTCCCGAGCCGGCAGCGTATCCTTGGAAGGCCGGCCAACGTCCGGGCGGCCTGCGCTCGGAGCGACAGAACCAGCACGGTAACGCATATGACGGCAATCCTAACGTTCATTACATCGACGGTCTTAACCCTTAAAGTTAACGTAAATTCGATGAAAAAAATACGGGGACGGAAAGATTTTCTTTCCCCGCCCCCGTATTTTATCCGGATCGGTCGGTTACCGCACCAGTCCCGAGAATCCCATGAAAGCCATTGCCAGAATGCTCGCCGTGAGCAGCGCGATCGGCATTCCCTTCATGCCGGCCGGGACGTCTTCCAGTTCGAGCCGTTCGCGGAGTCCGGCAAAAAGCACCAGCGCCAGCGAAAAGCCGATGGCCGTCGCGGTCGCGAAAACGACGGATTCGCCGAGATTGTATTCCTTTTGTACCAGCAGGATGGCGATCCCCAGGACGGCGCAGTTCGTCGTGATCAGCGGCAGGAAGATGCCGAGCGCCTGGTAGAGCGCCGGGCTTACTTTTTTCAGGATGATCTCGACCATCTGTACCAGCGCGGCGATTACCAGAATAAAAACGATGGTCTGCATATACTGGATGCCGAGCGGGACGAGCACGTAGTACTGGATCAGGTAGGCGACGATCGACGAAATGGCCATCACGAACGTAACGGCGGCGCCCATGCCCAACGACGTGCCGACCCGGTTGGATACGCCCAGGAACGGGCAGATCCCGAGAAACTGCGACAGTACGACGTTGTTGACGAAGATCGAACTGATGATAATGATGAAGTATTCCATGACTATTTCGTTTTAGCCGTTAGCTTTTTGAAAATGGCCATCAGGTAGGCCAGTACCATGAAGGCTCCCGGGGCGAGGATGAACAGCAGTATTCCGTCTCCCTGGATGAATTTCAGGCCGAACACCGAGCCGTTGCCGAGCGCTTCGCGGACGGCTCCCAGCAGAGTTAGCGACAGCGTGAAGCCGAGTCCGATGCCGATCCCGTCCAGCGCCGAGTCCGCGACGTTGTTTTTCGAAGCGAACGCTTCGGCGC